ACTCACCGTACTCTTGATGGCTCTTGAATGGTCTTTAAGATGGAAGCCTGAGTATGAGTTTTGATACCATTACTGGAGGCCTGAATGATCATTTTCCTTTCACCATTGCTCATTTGGAAAGACAGTAGTGGGGACACAAAACGATTTTAATCTGTTCTCTTCCTTTTTTTCTGAATAACTTTTTTTTTCAGTGATTCTTACAACAAATGGTATCAAGATGGCTAAATGCCTTATTTGAAAAGCCGGAAAAAAGAAACTCAGTTTGTTTAGTGTTTTTTCTTTTTTTTAGATATTAAATATTTTGGGGGATGGATAATTATGCTATTACACTGTTTGGACAATTTTGCTGTTAGACCTGGTATATGCATATCTATTCATATGTGATAATATGCATACTTGTATATGCGCGTTAATAAACAGACACACATACGAAAATACGCAAACAAGGTTTCTTAAATTCAAACGACAACATCAGTCTTTTTAATTTTATATTGCTTTCTTCCAGTTTTCAAGAGGATTATCGTGGAGAATAATTCACCACCCATATTCATACATGTGTCTGTCTATCGCTCCTCAATGCTGCAAGCTACCTCTTCTTTCTCTATCGTTCTCCATCCTCCCAAAACTCGATAGCATTTCAGATAATATAGACAAGACTATCTTTCTTCATCCATTTGTATATATTTTCGTGTTCGGTGACTTTAACGCTCAGTATACCAAGTGACTTAAAAACTCTACAACTGACCGTGCTGGCATGTAAACCCTTAACGTTTTAATTACTCAATCCCTCACACAAGTGGTTGACGTTCCTACACGTTTTCCCAATAACCAGGATGGTAAGGCTTCCCTATCGATCTCTGTTTTACCTCAATCCCCGAGTCTTGTCGTGTCACGCAGCTCTGCCCTCTTGACAATTCTGGTCATGCCGTAGTGTCTCCTAACATCTCCTTCTACTCCCCCCCCCCACCAGCAAATAACCTCCTACCAACAGAACATCTTTCTGTTATCAACGTGCAGACTCAGTCTTGTTTCGTGATTTTCTTCGAGATGTTCCCTGGAATGTGATATTTAATCTCCCACTTTCAAAATTGCGCTTCCGAGGTCTCCTCCTGCGTAAAGGCTGGAATCGAAGATGTCATCCCTGCAAGAAAGTATAAAATCGTTTTCATCCCATTGGTTCTCAGCTGCTTGCTCAGCTGCTATTGCCCATAGGAATCACTTCTTCCGTCTGTACCGAAGCGACGTGTCTGATTGCAACAGACGTCGCTTTGTCTCTGTCCGTAAAGAGTGCAAGCGTGTCCTCAATGAAGCAAAGTTACTATTTGCTGAAGGAATGAAACAACGTATTTCATCTCGCAAGTTCGGTTCTAAAGATTATTGGTGTCTCTGCAAGAATGTGCTGAAAAAACAGCAAATCCACAATACCTCCTTTATATAATCAATTTATCAGCTATGGCTGAATGCTTTGCTCGTAAATTCTCATCAAAGTCAACGCTCGACTTATCCGGTGTACCCACACCCGATTTTCCCCCTGTAATTAAGACTCTGTTGAGTAAGATACATATAACCCCATAGATGGTATTGGGCATCGTCTCTAAATTAGACTCCCATACCACTGGGCCATGTGTCCTCAAGTGGATAAAGGCGTTGGTTAGATCTAGTCACTAGACCCAAAGTGTTGTGAGTTCAATATCAGGCTACATCACTGGTGAACCAACACTTGAAGAGTTGAATTAAAAGGAAATAACTGAGATATCCGAAAGAGGCATGGCACGTGGAATTAGAATAATCTACCCCGGTGGATGTAATAAAGAGTTCTGTTCGAAATTCCAGTCACCTGAAGAAGAGTTCGGTTCGAAGTTTCAGTCAAAGAAGACCTGAGAATACAACGGCTGAAACGTTATGAATATGGCAATGAAGATGAGGATAACAATCCGAATAATTTAAATAATTTAAGTAATCATAATACCTCATCACAGAGATATAGACAGACAACAAAGATGTTACATTATATAGTTATTAGATTTTTTTATTTACAAAATAATTTTATATTTACAAGATTATAAAAATATGTGAACCAACTACAATATAATATTTATCATTTAAAGGCAGTATACAGTAATAGCAGAGGCAAGAGAAAAACCGTCTTTTTGACAGATCGATTTTTGCGGGTCTGACGATATTTTGATAAAATTTTTGAATCTTCGGCCATTTTGAAATATAACCCACATACAATTACAAAACTTATTTCTGAGTTCAAGACAGTGATGCGTGTTGTGTTAGGCTTCAGTGGTGTGAAAGATTTCAATGGAAGCAGATTTCAATGGAAGCAGATTTCATGCCACGGAAACGCACACTTGAACTTTTATTCAATTAGAGCCGATTGAGATGTTCTGGATTGAGAGCCTTCGATAGACTGCATGATCATTTTGAAGAATTGCAACGTATATTGGAAATGACACATTCGTAGTATTTTGGCAAAAGGGTTAAATGAATGTTTCTACAGCTGTGGACCAGATTTCTGGCAGCCACTTAATACAGGCGTCCGTTAAGATTGAGGAATTGTTAAAGGGAACAATGGCAACCCCACTTATTACAGATCTGAGCGAATGTGGTTCCGGAATCGATTACTTCCAACAGTAATGTATACACTTAATCAACAATATCGTCATGTGCGTCTGCAGTCGTGTCATGATAAGTTCAACTTAGGTATCGTATGGGGCTTTATAGTGTTTAGTGATGAGAGCAGTTTTACATTTGTGTATGCACATTTTCAACTGACACTTAAGTTGAAATTAACGAGTGAAAATTTGTAACTTCCAGTCAAGTGCCAATTCATCTCCAAAGTTTTCATTTATCATTTATTTTATCCCATTTTTAGTCGAAATGGTTGGATACTTTTAAGATACTATTTCGTAGAGTTTACCGCTGTTGATAAAAAGTACAAAAGACTTAAAACCGAGATAATATCTTTTACACTCCTCTATGTGGGTGTCCGGATCTCAGACTAGTTCCATCTTGTCACAGCTTCACTTAATGAATATTTAGCGTATATAAAAATATATCTTATTTTACATGTATCTCGAATAGTTTGTATCTTTCAATATATCACGTATATAAAATGACTTCTTAGTTCAGATATCTTTGAATACTTCGTATCTTTCAATACATCACGTATATAAAATGACTTCTTAGTTCAGATATCTTTCAATACTTTGTATCTTTCAATACATCACGTATATAAAATTACTTCTTAGTTCAGATATCTTTCAATACTTCGTATCTTTCAATACATCACTTATATAAAATTACTTCAAATATCTTTGAATACTTCGTATCTTTCAATATATCACGTATATAAAATGACTTCTTCAGATATCTTTCAATACTTTGTATCTTTCAATACATCACGTATATAAAATGACTTCTTAGTTCAGATATCTTTGAAGACTTCATATCTTTCAATACATCACATATATATAACTTCTGAACGCAGATATCTTGGAATGTTTCCTATCTTTAAATACTTCACCTATCTATAATAACTTTTTACTTCATATATCTATGGATTCTTCTCAGCGTTCAATACATCCTTTATATACAATGACTTCTTAGTGTATCCTTGGCGACTTCGAATCTGAATACTTCATAATATGCATAATTATGCGTTTCTCTTTAAGCGTAAAGTGGCATAATTATTTTGCTAATTTCAGCGTAAGCAGAAAATCGTTCTCAATATCAATTTATAAAATTACTTTCTGATAACCCATTACTCTTATGTACATTTTGACTTTAAGAGACAGTAGAATAGACAGAACATAACTAATTTGGGCATTTATTTAATTATACATATTTATTTTGCACAACGAATCTTTTGTCTTCGATGAACTTGCTTACTCAGCTCAATCACGTTAGGCTCATGGCTAGTTTCCTACCTCCATAATTCTATTTAAATAGAGACTTTTTCAAGTGGGGGTAATATTAGTTATAGCATTTCCTATCTCGTACTGGTTTATAAATATACATTTCTAAATAACCTGATTTAGGACAAAATAACTAATTCCATATGCGTGTTTCTATACCAAATATAGAAATGAAATCTTTACCAAGTATAGTTGTACGTTTATCGTATGTGTACACGATAGCTATAACATTTTGGTTTCTATATTATATATAGTGGAATTAATTACTACTTTGCAAATTCTTGGTGTTCTTTCCATCAGTTTTAAAAAATAGTAGATGGAAAACGCTCACAAGAATATTTAAGCACTGAAAAAGCTCACACTCACACTTTCGGTATTCTCTCCGAGCTCCCCTATCCAAAGCATCCCGTACAAACTCAATGGGAAAGAGGTCAGGAGATTGAGCCGGCAAGGTCATAATTTCCAAAGTTTTGGTCTTTTTTTTTTTTACTCTAGGTAATTTTGACATAAAGTTTGAAGATTAATTTGGACAGTTGTGTATAAACCAGACGCTATAGACGTCTTTACAAATTTGGATGATATTTTTCTTTTTTCATGATTCCCTTGATTTGAATCAAATATCCAACCGTTTCTCTTCCAAAAACACCCCACACCATAACAGACCCAACAGCAGGCATAAATATTGGAACCACGCATTCATTATTCCGTCTTTCACCTGGCTTTCTTATAACATACACTTTCCTATTGATACTACTTTGAACTTTCTTAGTAGTAAGAAGATCCTGAGGAAAGACTGAGAAATAAATGCAAATACACTATAGTTATTGAAACTTTATCTTTTACTTAAAAAGTACAAGAATATCTCATTTTAAGGTGTTTTAAAAATAAATTCATGGTTACCAAAAGTTTTGCTTGTAGTGTATATATATATACACACACACACATATATATATATATATATATATATATATATATATATATATGTACGTATGTATATATATGAAAAAACAAAAAAGAGAAAAAATGACAAAGAAAGAGGAAGAAAAAACGAGAATGTAAAAGACAAAAGATGAGAAATTAAACGACAAAAATTGAGAAAAAGACAAAAGAAGAGGAAGAAAAAGAAGAGAAAGAAAAAGACGAAAGAAGAGGGAGAAAAAGAAGAGAAAGAAAAAGACGAAAGAAGAGGGAGAAAAAGAAGAGAAAGAAAAAGACGAAAGAAGAGGGAGAAAAAGAAGAGAAAGAAAAAGACGAAAGAAGAGGGAGAAAAAGAAGAGAAAGAAAAAGACGAAAGAAGAGGGAGAAAAAGAAGAGAAAGAAAAAGACGAAAGAAGAGGGAGAAAAGACGAAAGAGGGAGAAAAGGACAAAAGAAGATGAAGAAAGTGAGAAAGATAAAGAAAAGAGAAGAAAAGACAAAAATAGAGGGAGAAAAAGACAAAAATTTGAGAAAAAGAATCTACAGTTTCCTGTCGTCGTTTATGTTTATATGAATTTCTGTTAATAAAAATGCTTTCGTTCTTTGCAATCTGTCAACATAAACACATTACTACACCAATATGTGCTTAATTAGATTAAGTAACGTTCAACCCTAAGCTTGGTGTAAAAGCTTCCTGCGGAGAAAATACTATGTTTATCTATCATTTTAATTTAAAAAAAAAAAAAGAATTATTTTTAAGTAAAAAGAATTATTTTAACAAAATAAATTTTTCTGTTGTCTTTATTCATGCAGCAATTAGTGATTTTCTAATTTTTTTCTCGCTTTAAAGGCTTTTCTTTTCAGTCTTTCTACGTGTTGATATGATTTTATTTTAATCCCAAAACATCATGAAATTCAGATCATTATCATCGGGGTGAGCACGAGCAGAGACCCACTCACACCTTATTTTTATTAAGTTACAACGTGAACAGTAAATTACTAGAGCAATGTCATTAATATTCTCAAACATAGCGAGCTGATTTTACTGAAGTTACGACAAGAAACACACCCACAGCGCCGACATCGGATCATGTTTTTTAATATATTCATTATTCTTTCCCTTTGTCAACAAATGGATATTCCATTCTTATGCGAATATGACGAGGCAGTTGTCAAGGGCAATAAGTGGCTTGCCTTTTGTTACAATAACGATGTCATATGTCATTAAAAAGTAGAGGAACTCGTGCTGCGGATATATTATTACTTATTTCTATTCTTAATGTATTTTCGGATATTTTTACTTACTTCTTTCTTATATGTGACAATATATTTAATTCTATAGAAATCCTAGATTACTCATGCAATGAAAATGTAAGCAATGCAATTGTAAAATTACTTAAACTTTTACATTACTACTAAACTAATTACGAAAGAGTACAGAAAATTTCAAGGCCCAATTCACTTAACAAATTCAGATCTTTTGATCAATATATACTGATCTCGTAAAGTGTGAAAATGAAAAAAGATTATTAATAATCTTCACTTGAGAGAAAATAATGACGTAATAAAGACGTTGACCGTCCAAACTACTTCAAACAAAAGGCAAGGAAGGAAACCCACATCAATACTGGAAAGAGCTATAACAACTATTGGACCTTAGAAACCTATTTTCCTGAAAGAAAATTTTAAGAGAAAGATTTTATAAATTTAAACAACCAACTGTAGTATTGGCTGCTCGGTCAATGAATGCCGAATGGTTCATCATAGAGGGACAACTAATATTACTGTTACCATTAAAATAATTAGAATCTTTAAATTATAACACCATTATTTTACTTTAAAAAATAACAAATTTACTCGTATATAAAAAAATATCTAATTTTAACATAATACATTCTGTGTTTGTACGGTTTAAAGTATGAAACTGTCACTAGCAATTTCAGTCATACGCTTGGCGTCAGTGATGCCGTTTCTAAAGCCATTTCCTTAATGTATTGCATGCATATGTTCACCAAGACAGCGATCCCATAGCCAAGCCTCCCTGGTGATGGTATATTTCAGATTTTAGTTAGAAGAATGTTGTCTGTGCAGAGAATATCATAAATTCCATCTGGTTATTCGAATGTTACTACTTCTCTCTCAAGGGAGGGGTCCGGTTCCAATCAGCTTCGAACCACCGATATAGACTCATCTGTAAGAACCCTAGTGAACAGGTTCTCGCCATGCAATCCGATTGTTATGGATGGTTGCACCTTGAATCTAAATATGGCCACGATATTTTTACGGTATAGGTAAATTAGTTTCGAGAGAGTGATGAAATCCACTAGCCAGAATCAGTATTCTAATTTTTGGTAATATAAATACTGATTTTAGCCAGGGCGTGGTGTGGGAGAGAAAAAAGAAAATTATAGTATAGTACAAAAATGTCCTGTATACCTGCGCCTTCCTTAGCTGGGTAATATCAATGAGAAATATGCTAGACAGGTTTCCGTAGAAGTTCGACATTGTTGCTTTGCCGCTAACACTCGTGTCGTCTTTTCTGCCAAGCCTGCTTTTCCGTCCACGCGGAAAGACGTTCTCCCTCCACATCATAATAGTTCTTTAATTTATTCTTTTAAATGTAGTTGTGGCTCACACTACTTAGGGAGAACGACTCAAAGGCTGGATGTCAGAATAAAGCAACACGTTCCAACGAAAATCCGTAATCTTAAGTAAACTCCTTCAGACATTCTGACCAATATGTATGGGTCTTCCATCGCAGAGCACCTCATAAGTAGCCATAACTGTGCTACCAGTTTCAGTGTTTACCATTCTTAGCAAGTCCCACTCGAATTACCACTTAGAAGTGTTGGAGGCTATTTATATTTTATCGTTGAAGCCCTATCTGTGTAAACAGAAGGAATTCGTACTGGGCCTTAATTCCCATCTAAGCAATATTTTTTTTTCTTTTTTTTTTCTCCCTCCTAATACATATTTTTCATCTTTTTAGTGATAATTCTATTTAATTTATTAATCTCGATTTAGCTCTGTTGAGCAAGGTTCGAAACCGGTTAGCTAACCCGTTTTTCAGTTTTACTATCTATTATCATCATCAGTGGTAATAAGAATAAATTTTGTCTTTTCATGGCGGTCATAAAAGAAAATTAATACTTTTCGCATAAATTAATGATTGTTATAATGTTTATTTCAGCGTAGTACTAGATTGGGGGCAAGGTCACACCAATTTGCAGTTGAGTTGGCTGGATGTAACCATATGTTCTTTGCTAAGAGTTTCTTTTCTTGCACTTCTCGCTTATGGAACTCTCTTCAGGCTCCATACTTTCTAGCCATCTTCAAACATTTGCATGCAATATCAATCGTTATCTACTCCTGGTTATACTTCTTTCGCTGCTTAGTAATGTTTCTATTTTCTAATTCTTCCACACCCAGTGTTTTAGTGGCTTTATTGCCTTGCTTGATTTGTGTTTTTTTTTATTTCTATATAAGAATATATCATTTTAACAAAATAAAAGCATCATTATTTTTGGACGGTACTGTTAACCTAATTACGAGGGAGTATCGAATTCTAATGTTTGGTCATTGCAATACTGATTTTGGGAAGGTGGACAAACTGAGAACCTTTCAATGGTACGTGGAAAAATTCAAATTCAAATACCAATTACACAAAACATCGATTGAAGTGCACATGAAAATCACCTACTGATTTTTTTAATAGCGATCAGTACTATAAGTGTTTGTCACTTTGCACGAATTAAATTAAGCTCATCTCTGAAAGAGAGATAGACCCCATGTGTTTGTGGAGGTGGTTGAAAATGAAACAGAAATGTAAGCGAATTCACGAGAGAGAGAAAGAGAGAGAGAGAACATTTTTTTACTTATTTCTTTCCTTATCATCGTTGTAACTCAAAAAAAAATGATCAGACATTAATTAAATCAAAAGCACGAGTCTATTTTTTCCTGAAAATAACTTCCGCGTAGTTTGAAAATGTGTATGTATCATCCTCACTATCACATATGGTTATGTATGAGTCGTCACATAAGGAAAACAGTAGACAGTAGTTGATTGATCCGACCTTTTATGGAGTTTACGCTCATAAAGTGGCAGTTGAACACATGATACGGAAAGCTTATCAAAGTATTAAGAAACAGTAACATTTGCGTTAAAAACAAGTAAAAGTGTGATGAATGATTACAACTACAACATTAAAATGAACAGTGCTGCAGTCAGTTGTCTGAGAGTACTACGGAGTCTGCGATGAATGAATCGTCGCGACATGATTTTTGCGAGAGATGTGCCGAGTTCAAAGAGTAACTTTTTGGGTTATAAATAAAATCGAGGAAAAAAACTATCATTTAATTCACACACACACACATATATATATATATATATATATATATATATATATATATATATATATATATATATATATATATATATATATATATCATTCAATATATATATATACACCCACACACAACAGATATATAAATGCACACACACGCACACACATACACGCGCGTATATATAGACCAGTTGCCATCCAAGGCTATAGAACCCAGTCTGTCCTGCTATTTACCTGTAAGTGGAGGGAGAAGAAGAGGATTCATCCCTTTCAAAAAGTATTAGCACGTAAATGAATGTAATGGATTCGACTGGAAATCGAACTTGTTTATATATATATATATATATATATATATATATATATATATATATATATATATATATAGAGAGAGAGAGAGAGAGAGAGAGAGAGAGAGAAAATAGCGATACCTAATTTTTAAAATGCATTTTAAAAACTAAAATTCTTTCTTAAAGATTTTATTTTAGTTTTAATTCCAACCTAATAGATAACATTTGATATTTATATTTCCAATAAGCAAAATACTTTACTGTATTGCAAACCGAATCATTAAAAATCGCCCATAATAACAAATCTGTCAACAGAATATAATTTTCTTTATTAAAACATCTTTCAAAAATCAAACAAACTTTTAGGAAACATTATTTGAGAAAGATTAACTGATTAATGTTTAATTTGAATTTAAATAAATATTATTTTTAATTTAAAATATCGCAGAAAAGTATTTTTAACACGGAGGTGGGTGTTTTTATGAGGTGTAGACAGATTTATCGATAGCTTAATGTTCGGCATTTTAAGTAAAGAGTATATAACTGTAAAAATTACACTGGTCTATAAATTGAAAGATTAAAATATAGCAAGTCTTATCTAATTTGGGGGGCACTGGAAATAAAAATGACATTCAATATTGTGGGATTGGATCTAGATTTCAAGACCCGGTACTTGTATTATATGAATATGCCATCAAAATTGCACACCTTTCCAGAAAAATTAATATTCTCCTAATAAACTTATTATATATAATTATTCTCCTAATAAATGATTATTCTCCTTATAATTCAGGTTTTTACATATTTAACTGACCTTTGAAAAAATGTCCCATGAATGTCTGAACAACACCTGTTGGGATAAAAGCTTAGCAACAGTATTTTGAATGCAAAATTGAAGACCAAGGCAAGAAGTGGACACCAAACATATGCAGTAATACCTGTGCAACAAATCTCAATCCATAGCTAACCAGGAATATAAAGTCTACACCTTTTGCAGTGCCCATGACTTGGAGAGAGACAACCGATTGTGCCATGATTGCTATTTCTGTATGGCGCCTTCGTTTGCTTAGGGACTGTCAAAGAAAAAGAAATGAACAGTTTAACATCCAAACATTCCATCAGCTTTGCGTTATGACCTCCCCCCCCCATGATGAAGACATGTCAGTTCCAGAAGTACCGAAATTGTATAAAAGTGAGTCAGATGATGGGGAAGACAACGAAACCTCAAAGCCCTAACCATCATCTTCGTATGGCCAAGATTATTGTCCAATATCCCTCTCTTAACTACATTTCCTAACTCAAAGTGACCTAAATGGATTAGTCAGAGATTTGGAACTTACTAAGCTTAAAATAGAACTGTTAGGTTCTAGGTTACAGAAGTGTAATCTATGAGCTACTGATGTACGGATTTCTCATTTCCATGAACGTCACACAGGAAGGAGATTTGGTGTACTGCGATGCTATCTGTCGTCTTATTCAATCACTTGATATCAGTTACAATCCAGAGGAATGGGGGCTGTTCACTGATTCCGGGAAGAAAGTTCTCAAAGGTGGACATATCAAGTACTGTTGTTTTCTTGTTGAATGGAAGAGCCGAGACAGAAGTTCCCATTACACCAACTGAAAAAGGCCACGAAGACAATCACTTGAACGTGTGAGGAAAAATATTCAACATCTTCCACTAGATAAGTCAAAGAAAATTTTGTTGCCACATCTTAAATTCAAAATGATGAAAAAAATTCATAAAGGCTATAGGCAAACAAAAGCAGTATTCAAGTATGGGAAGAATAAAATTCACAGGACAAGTGAAGCAAAGATAAAGGAAGGCATCTTTGTTGGTACCTAGATTCGCAAAATTCTTTTGGATGAAAATTGTGGCATGGTACTAGGCGGAAAGGAAAAACTGCATGGAAACCTTTCAATTCAATTGTAACCAACATTCTTGGTTATGAAAGCGTAAAAAATTACCGAAAAATGGTTGAAACCCCACTAAAGGCATACAAACATCTTGACTATAACATGTTGAAGATCCACTTCTTCGACTCGCATCTTGAATTTTCCCCAAATCGTTGTGCTAAGAGTGATGAGCACGGTGAAGTATTTCATCAAGACATAGCAGCAATGAAAAAAGATATCAAGAGAGGCGGAGTCCATCAATTCTGGCTGATTATTGTTTTACAAAAGACAAACTAAGAAGTGACATGTGGATTTTTGTTTTTTTGTTTTTTTTTTTTTGTTTTTTGTTTTTTTTTAAGCGTTTCACCCCAAGCAAGGCGGGAAGCCACTAGGACCCAAGGGGTTACAGAAAATTTAGAGCAAGATCAGATAGGAGTGATAGAGGAAAGGATGAGGAGAAGGTTAGTGGATAGATCAAGGCAACTGGAGATGTCGATTGACATTACATTTGAATAGCTGGAGATTATAGCTCTCAGGGAAACTGGAATAGGGAAGAGAGTTCCACAGGCGAGAGGTGCGAGACATGAAGCTATTGGAGTAAAAGAGATGGCTACATTTAGGACAGTGAAGGGTTGCGAGCGGGATGCCAGCCTCGTAGGGCGCTTGAACTCATGAAGTCTGGGAACCAGCGAATGCAGCTCCTCGGAGCAATTGCCATGAAAGTATTTGTAAAAAAGACAGAGAGAGGCGACGGCGGGTCTGTGATAGGGTGATTGTAGACGAGATGCCAGAACAGGGCCAATTATATTGCATATCCGCCTCTGGAGCCTATCAAGAACCCCGAGGCAAACAGAAGGGGCTCCAGACCATATATGGCAGCAGTACTCCATGCAAGGGCGAATTGTTGATTTGTAGATCTGGAGGATCGATTCCGGGGAGAAAAATTTCCTGGTGCGGCACATGTATATACATCTAAAGAGAGTTTTCTGGTTGTTGTTTTTTTTATTCCGTAAACACATATATTGCCATATTGATGTGTTTGTGTATTGTTCTGTTTGCCCACATAGAACCGAACATCAAAGTAGACTTTGCAAAGCAACATTTTTTTCCTTGATGACATCGATTGTACGCATGTGTATAACAAAACTAATAAATATCTCTCAATCTCGAGCCAATCTTCTAATTTGAAGGACATGTTCGAATTCAGTATGCCAAAATACATAGAAATTGGTATATTTTATCTCCGAAGTATTCAACTTGTAAAAAATTGTCAACCAGTGTTATTTGACGAATGCAACATAAACGTCCTTTTTATATTAAGTTTTAACTACCGAGTAATCTTGAAAATTTAGGAAAATATTCGAAGTCATCTAATATTTTATCTTTGTTTTTATAGTCTTACTTACAAAAATGCTTGTTGAGAAAATATTAGAAAATTGCCAATAAATTTTAAATTTACTACAGTTACTGCTCTTATTTTCTGATAATGTCGTTCCAAAAATCGATACGTTTATACAGACTCACCGCCCACAAAAATTCAAAATTCTTTTGAAATTACTGGGGGTCGCTGAATTGTAATAAGCGTTTTCATTTATGATTAATAAATATAGTTTTTATTCAATACCAATATCACCTAACCACTACAAATTAATACAAAATTTTAAAAGAATTAAAGCTTTATGAATTATTATAAATATTTTTTCAAATGAAAACAGTTCTTGTAAAAATTCAATATTAATCGAAATATTTTTTTCTTAAGACAATTGTGTCTAATTATATAATGTCTTAGTTTTATTGTATTTTTTATTTTACGATTCAGGGTAGATTTTCTGCAACTGGTGGTTCTATTTGACAACAAAAGTTTGACGATTTAAATTCTCCAGAGACTTGTCCTTATAACTAATATAAACATAAAATTAAATAAGTTCAGTGGAGGAACTAATGTAAAGAAATATTTTCACCAAGATTTTCTAAAAAGGAAACGTTTCTAAAATAATTTAATTCATTTGGGAATAAGGTATGAAAGTTTCATTAAAATTCGACTATAATCTGACATTTGCAAGAATTCGCAAATCAATGTTTTTCAACGCAAAAAAAAATCGTTACATTCCCATTCTAATTTATAGTCACCTGCTGATACGAGAAAAACAATTTCTAGGCTAAATTTCGAATTTTCTAAAATGGATTTAAAAAATATAATTTAATAATCAAATAATATTTTGGTCTTTCCTCTTCATAACGGCGCAAAGATTTTAACGATAAAACTTTTGCTTTTATAAGCTCATTTGCAAGTGCCTACACAGACACACGCATATATATATATATATATATGTGTGTGTGTGTGTGTGTGTGTGTGTGTGTGTGTGTGTGTGTAGAGTGTTTTTGTTTGGAAGTGGGGTTTTTCGTTACTCAGCGTAATTTTTGTTTATTGTCTGTATAAACCTGAAATCTTAAAAAAATGTGTCAAAATCAAAACACGCTTGGGTAATAAAGCAAGAAGAGCTGTACATTGTGGCAGAAATGTTTACCTATCTTTTCATGTTTCTGTACTTGGATTCCATGCCTAAACCGTGCCGATTTCTCTCTCAGTTTGGGCGCCCTACCGTCCAGATATACGCGCCCTACCGTCCAGATATACGCGCCCTCTATCTTTTGTCTGTTATTATTAATAAGACTCCGTTTTTTTTTCTTTCTCATGTTTTGTCAAGATCTTACCCACCGCAAAATATGAAATGTCTCCAGTTTTATCTCAAAACACATCAAAATAACAATGCTGATGCTTTATCTTGTTTCATCCCTGAGTTAGACAAGCATTTAAACAACGACACATGAGGACGTTAAACGGTTTGATAAAACTGACGTCGAAAAAAAGAAAAAACTTCTTCGATTTGAAACCAACAATTTCAGTCTTTCATATGAATGATGAATAATGTTTTTGATTGACTGATTGATTTGCTTTATACGGCTTATTAAACATCTTATAGGTTAAAGAAAACCGAAACATATTTTCGATTGGAATAATAACTCTATTTTCTTTATTGCAGTAACAATTTTTTTCTTTTTCAGATAAAAGTTATTTCTACAGATACATGTTTTACAATTTAAGCCATGGCTTGGAGGAGAATAGATGCTTTCATAAATTTCCCGAGGGAATTTGCGCGTTGTCAGTAATGTAGTTTTATCTGTAAACTTCGGGATTTTTTTATTTTTTTTTTTTTTATTGTTGTCGAATTGGGGTGGTGATCGTGTTTTTTATCGCAGATATTAATTCATTTTGATTTTTATAAATTCTTCTCAAAGACATTGCATTAAAGGCTTCCATGATCAATTTTTCATTGGCAAAAGTGTGCGTCAACCCAAAATCGATCGAATAGAGTATTTCTAGAGGATAACACTTTTACGGCAAGAATTATTTGTCATTAAAGAATTAAGAAATAGAACATGAACAGCAAACAAATAAAATTAAATTTAAAAAAAATATCTTCGCAAGTTTTTGAAGGTTAACCCTAATAAATTAATATATATATATATATATATATATATATAAGCAAGTGTAAATGGATATAAATCCGACAGAATGAAGAAATTTTGAAAAACAAACAAAAAATCCTTAAATGTAGTTAAATGAAAGAAATGTCGACGTCTGACATTTCGGTTTATTAAACCTTTTCAAGACAATATTCATCAAAAATACAATTCAGTTCAATATGACAAATACGATGGACATAAAACACAAGTCTTATTCAGAACAGATAACTGAAAATTTTAAAATGATCAGCCTTCCGTCTAACATGGTCACGCTGTCGTCACATGGGCGACGCTTTCATAACGTATTCCTAAAAGTTTGTGATTATTTTGAAATGAAAAAGAAAATGAAAAGAATTCTATTAGGTTCTAAAATTCTTATGTGTATGCTTGTCGAGCATCAATCTCGCTAAAAAGGGGGAAATACTAAAGAAACCAGGTCTAGTATTCACCGTGCGTGAGATGGATATTATACCTGCTTCATAAATCCTCCTGAGATTTTTATTATGAAAATATTTTAATACTTTCACGGAATCGAAATCGAAATTATGATCTGCTTTAGTTGTGTGTACAACTAAAGCATTATTAAATACCGAGACGAATATCTCGTTTATGTTCGAAAACACGAGATTTTAAGGACCTACCTGTTTCACCCACATATTTTAGGTCACAATTTTTGCATGATATTTGATAGATGCAAGCATCGGATGTAATATGTTGTCTGCTGGTGCTATTTAATAAACTACGGATAGTCCTAGTAGGTAATATAGTAGTTCTAATTTTAATGCATTTAGATTATGAGAGATACGTTCGGTCAAATGGTTATTTGGTAAAAGATGCGACCAAACGAAATATTATCAGAGGTAGCTGAAATTGTATCTTTCATTGATCTAGTTGTAGTGGCCTTTTGAGGTGTCATTTTGCGCTGATGAGTGAATTTTCAACGCTTTATTTTTAGCTCTCTGTAATAATTGTCTCGGATACGAAAGATTTGAAAAGGTATCCTCAATATATGTAAATTCATCATTTAAATATTTTGATGAACAGATGCGAAGAGCCCTCAAATAGAATCCAATAACAATACCCTCTTAGTGTTAGTATCATGGTGAGAGTAAAAATGTAAATAGTCATTTTTACATGTAGGTTTACGATATACTTTGAATTCTAATTTATTTTTATTTTTTAATGAGT